TTTATTTTTTTTTAAGCAGTCTTGCTTTTATTTATTTAAACCACTATGTAACTAATATACATGTATACATAATCTTTATAGTATAATGTTCTAATCTAATAAAAACTCACCAAGCACTTTGCTCAGTGTAACCTGCTAAAACAACAATTCACCTCTCTTGAGACCCTTAACTTTCTAAGGGTTTTGTACTATATCGATACCCCCTTGGTCAATGGTTAACTGTTGTTTTCCATGTCAAGCATGCTTAAATATTAGATTTAATTCTAACCAGCAAGGACCATGCTGGTTTGTTGCTCCATGAGACCCACTCTTTGATAAGCTTTTCTTTTGCCTTGGCTGCTTTGAGTTTTGTATTTTTTGCCCTAGTTCTTGTTTTTTTGGCTTCTGTTCTTCCTTTACCAGCCTGTGGGTCTATGTTTTCTTGGTCAGAGTCATCTCTTTTATCCTCCTTTCTTTTTCTCTTTTATCTTTCTTGGTTATTTCTCTGTTCTTTTCCCATTCTGCCACTAATTTATACCAGAAGTTCCATATATGTTTTTAGAATTGCGTTTTAACTTTGTTAATGAAAGCCTAGAAAAACTTGGAGATCCTCTTCACTTTGCATAGCAGGGAGCTAAATCTTTCTACTCTCTCTTTTGTTATAAGACCTTTTATTAGCTCTATTCTGGTCAAAATTCTTTCTTGTAGGTCTTCCCCGAATATTATTTCTGTAATTCTCTGTATATCTGTTATTACAAGCTTTTCTTTTTTTTTTTCTGCTTTTTTAACAATGACCTTGCTTCCTTCTCTTTCTATAATTTCCCACAAATGTTGATACTTAGAATATTTAGCAAAGTGCTCTTAAGTTTCTAGTTCTTGACGGCATATTTTGCACTTATCATCTATATATATATTCACCTTTCTCTAGTAAAGGATGATATCTGAAGGTTTAGATCTAGGCAAAGAATGGTTAAACAATAAGTACTTTTTTATTTTTTTACCTTCTATTATACTATTGCTCTTTTTTATTAAATTTTTCAATATAAATAACAATAAAGGCTCTTTAAATAACAACAAAAATTCTTTTTTCAAAATGAATATAGTGTTATTTTTTTAAAAAATTTTAATAGAATTTATAGCTGTGAAAAGAAAAACCAAATGCTGAATTTATATTATATTTGTTATAATTATATTGTAATTAATTTGAAAACAATTTTATAATTTTTCTTTTAATAAATAAGTTTAAACATTATATAAATAGTATTAAATATAAATAAGTTGTAGTGTTGATAATATTTTTATTTTTTTTGTATTTAAGCAATCCTGCTTCTATTTATTTTAAAAACTACTATATGATTATTACATGAGTAACCACCGAGATAGTGTGGCGCTTTATTCTAATAGAAACTCACCAAATATACTAAGTACTACCCAATGCGACTTGCTAAAACAACTATTATTCATATCGACAAAGGATACCCCCCTCGATCATTTGACAGGTTGTTGTATACCGTGTCAGGATCTCTTTTTTCCCTTCTAATTCTTCCTTCTTCTCAAGGGGCATGAGACAAAAGGAGAAAATTTTTAACAGAAAATTATGAAAATGACCAGAAAAAAAGAAAAAACAGAAAAGAAAAAAGAAATACTGATTGCGAAAAAGAAAAAACATAAAAAGAAATCTAAAACCCTGAAGGCACTATTATAGCCCGTGTATGGCTGATAAAAATTATATAACAAATACAACATTTGTATATCGCTACTGTAAAGCTATGCCTTAATGTTAAAATTACTTTCTGACCTTCCCATCAACTCTGGATGGCTTCGTTGCTTATTCTAATTTATATCTCGAGCTAGAAGCTACCATCGTCTAAGGACCCGTGTCTCAAGCCACCTGCTGCCATAATTAGAGTTCCCAGGCTAAGTCCCATGAAAAAGTGCCATATTTGTCTGTAAACAAACATGTGGTTGCATTCCGCTAGTTTATCCAAATTTGGGAAGTAAACAATGCCGATCTTTTGGAGAGGGTAAGCCAAATCTCCACTTTTTGTTGAAATTTTTTTGGAAGACCGACGGAAGGATGAGAGAGAGTAAAAAGGTACCACTTGACCAAGTAAAAGGAGTATGGCTAGAAGAAAGTAACAAAATGTTTTGTTGTTCCCCTGTGTTCTTCTTTGAAGTAATGACCTAAAAGCTTTGTTAATGGAAAAAGAGGGGTATTATTTATATATTTGCATATATTAATAATGTATTTAACTATTAATTTTGTTATTAAAAATACTTTAAATTTTATTTTTCAAGTTGCATTAGATTATATGGGCTGCCGTCAATAGAAATCAGGCATATCTACATTTGAAAAAAAAATTAATGCCTTAACTTTCACAGCTCATAACTCAATGGATTTTAAAGCTATCTTGATGGTTTGATATTCAAAAGAAAGCTTACGATCTAAGAATTCTTTTGAATATTAAACAATCAAGATAGCTTTAAAATCTATCGAGATATGAGCTGTGAAAGCTAAGGCATTAATTTTTTTTTCAAATGTAGATCTACCTGATTTCTATTGACGGCAGCCCATATAAAGTTATAAAATTTATAAAAATAATTTAGCAACCTAGCTTTTAATTTAATTTTAAAATTTATTAGTTTATATATCATATTATATATAGGTACATACTAATTTGGCTTTAGAAGTTTTATTATACTAAATTTTACAAAAATTATTTTTTGTTAAAACTCAAAAAGCTACAATGGAAAGCGAAAGGATATTGTAGATGAGAATGATGCGAACGCATTTTTACACACAAAAAAAGGTAAATAAAAAATTCATCTTTTTAATGACGTCAAAATTCGTAAATTTTTATTGTTGTACGAAATAAAATTAAAATATACTGTATTTAATTTTAAGAATCAAGTTTTTTGTCGTAATATTTTAGATGCTTACTAGTTACTATGACAAATTAAAAAAAATTAATATTTTCACGTATCAAAAAAGTGTTATTTTTTAAACTACGTATTATTACTTATATACGTAGTATACACATATATATAAAGTTAAATATACGTACGTATAAAGTCTTATAAAAAAACTATACAATTACTATCCATATATGTATGTATATCGTTACGTACGTACTCGCATACAGTCTATACCTGCATTAAATTAATATCTATTACCTATTACAGGGGTTAAGTACTTTAACATAAGATCTTCGAATACAAAAGATTAACGTTAATCAATAAATAAATACGTATTCTGGGCATATTTTCAACTTAGGAACAATGGTGACAAGGTTATACAAGGTAAGGTTGCCATAGGCGCAACGTTTTACGAAGACGAAATTTAATAGAAGGATCGAGTAATCGACATGTTGATTTTATTAGAACATTTTAAACCTCCAGAAGAGGAAATGTTACGGCTTATGTCGTAACTAGTCACGACATAATCTTTAGCTAGTTACGGTTTAAGCCGTAGAAGTTTCAACCGCATCGCTAGTTCTGTGCCAATATTTAAATTAACGTTAATCCAAATTATTAATCCGAATTAAATATACAATAATAAAATTTTACGTAATATAAAAATAAATTAGGTTAGACTAGAACGGATTTTTGTTCAAATATAATTTTTAGAACCCAAATTGGAAAACTGAATGCTTAAATTTTAAATTTAACCAAATAAAATATTATTCATAGAAAATGTAAGTAAATAAATATTATTATAGGCAAATATTTATCTACTAACTATTTTGTCAAAATTATTGCTGTTTACCTTATATATTAAGAGAATTTTGTAGAAAAACTATAAGAATTTTGCAATTATTACAAACATTTGAAACTTGTTTTTTTGTAAAACATTATTTTAGAGAAATACGATGCTAAATATTATTATAATAATTATATATAAATATACATATACAATTTTAAATGCATATGCAGATCCAATTCTAGAGTGTATACTAATAAAAGTGTTATTTTATTAATGTACTACAATCTAACCACCATACACTCAATGTAGTACTGAATGAGTCGATAAGCTGACTAATTAAGTACAACATGAAAAATTCCTAAATGACTATTAATAATAGAAACACTTATGTGTAATACTAACCTAACACTTAACACTAAATGTATTGTTAAGCATAATTTGTTGATTTGGTTATTATGTCTCACTTAGCATTGACGGTTAATTAGGAAATAAAAAATAAAAAAAGGAACAATTGCAAAGTATTTAGAAATTCAAAGTTCTACCGAGAACTCCGAAACCAATACTGTATATCTAATTACAGAATGTATTATCCAAATATTTCAGTATTTAATAGGTTTGTGGATCAATGACCTATTTTCGTATTTTTCAAAGTTTGATAACTTTTGTACGTACCAATACTAGAATTAGGGATTTCCGTGTACATATACAATAAAGTTTAGTTAAGTTGTATCACATGATCAAATCATTTTTTAAGAGAAACATTGCATTTTTTTTTGTAGTGTTAATAAAAAAACTGGAAAATGTCAAATTCGTATCAAAAGGGTTATCAAAATCACGTGCATAAGTGCGAAATTCCATATTTGGATGTGTCTGGGCACCGCATAAGGTCGATTGTTTGGTTATATTGTTTATATTGTCTTAATATTATTAACACGACAAATCAATTTACCATTATACGTACATTAAAAAACCTGTGCAAGTTATTATAAATTTGAAACAAATCAGCGTACATTAAAGAGCTTCTTGCGCCCTTTAACTTTGTCTTTGTTTTCAGAGTGACAAAGAAAATAGAATCCTGCTTATCATATTTACCTCTATTGGTAATATCAAATTTTAAGTTTTTACCGGACTAACACGACTTTTCGATAAAATTGTATAGCGATACAAAGTGACAAATCTGTATTTCATGTAAATATTCCTTGAAAATAGATTATATTTATAAAAATTCGCCATTTTTCGTTTTTTTTTTTTTTTTTTTTGTCTACAAGCTTTTCTTACTAGTTTCAATATCATATAGTTCTATCAAGTCATACTTAAAATGGTTAACAAATTATCAACACATCCTTCGGAAAAAACAAAGTTACGAAAACCATCTCAACAAACTCTTTTTCTTCGTCTTTCATTTTTTTTACCTTTAATTCTTGGATTTTTCTTCTACCGTTATGTAAATTCTGGACCTTTCTTACCGTTATCTTGTCAGCTATTTAGTTTGGGATGTCCTGTAGCCAAAGATACAGTGAGAGGTTTCGTAGATCCTAAATTTAAAGAGGTTAAAGAAATTTTTGAGAAAAATATTGAAAGTGGTGAAGAAGTTGGTGCTTCGGTGACTGTTTATTATCAAGATGAAGTTGTTGTTGATTTGACTGGAGGAATTGCTAATATTGAAACTGGTAGAATTTATGATAAGGATACATTACAACTTGTATTCTCAAGTACTAAAGTATTGGTAAATAATAATTATTAACTTTATTGTAAAAATTTTTATTTTTATAAGTTTATTAACGAATATATCAAATATATCATTTTTAAATTAATTATAGACTTCAGTCGTGATTGCACAGTTAGTTGAAAAAGGTATACTCGACTATTCCGAAAAGATTGCTACTTATTGGCCAGAATTTGCTCAAGGCAACAAAGAAAATGTAACTCTAAATGAACTTATGACACATACCGCTGGTGTAGGTTGGATCGATACTAAACAATTGAAAATAAGTGATTTAAAGGATCTCGATCATTTAGAAGAAATCCTTGCTCGTCAACCTCATAATTTTAACGGAAAACCAACCAGATCTTATCATGCACTTACACGTGGATTTTATTTAAACGCTATAGTTCGTAGAATGGATCCTAATCATCGTACTATTGGCCAAATTGTTGCCGAAGAAATTTTACCAACTTATAATATTGACTTTCATTATAAAACAACTAAAGAACTTTATCCTCGAGTAGCAAATATTTATGTTTATCCTTTACCTAGAGTTTTAGGAAAGTTATTATTACCAAAATGGATGATAAAATATCCTCTTCATGCTGTATTTAATTATATGTTCGATTCTAGTTCAATGACTTTTAAAACTTTAGTGGCCACGTCTCCTGATCAATCACAACCAAAAGATTGGAATAATTTTGAAATGTTACAATACGAAGGTCCAAGTTATAATGGTGTTACAAATTCAAGATCTATGGCTAAATTAGCTGCTATAATGGCTAATAAAGGTCAACCATTACCGGGTTCGAAAGAACCTCCATTATTTAAAAAATCTACTTATGATTTATTAACAAAAAATGATAAAACTGAATATGATTTAGCAATTCATGAAAGAATAACAATGTTATACGGTGGATTAGGTAATTTTAGTCTTGATGGTTTTGATTGGGAATTTTGGGGTTGGGGTGGATCAGGTGGAAGTATGTTGCTTTGGAATCCCGAACATAAAATTGCTCTTGGTTATTGTATGAATGCTTTTCATACTGCTCTATTAGGTGATCATAGAAGTTTGGATTTGTTGAAGAGTATAATAAATACTGTTAAGCAATTGAAAAATCTATAAAGGGAAAATAATAGTCGAGTTTATTATTAAATTGTATAATTTATTTCATTCTTTAATTCTCTATTCACTCTTCTTGAACCATTTACAACAGATACGAATAGCAAATTGTTTATTTTTTAATAAAACCTTCTCTTTGTGTATTTTAGTTTTTAATAATGGAAATATATATAATTTTTGCAAAATCTTTTGCAAGTTTAATGTAAAGTATACATGTTACAAAATTTTATATAATTATTGTTAAAATTATTATTTTAGGTACACCCAAAGTGGTAAACATGTTCTCGAGAATGTTCAACCATCACTATGCTTTAAAATGTTTGAAATGTTTAAAATGTTTAATATGTAGAGTTTGGGTTATTTCTTTAAGGATCACATTGTGCTTGTAATAATAATTTGTTTGAATCATCCGATTAACAGATTCATTTTAATGAATTCGGTCTTTATTACTTTGCAAATTTTGTAAGTCAAACTGGAACGTATAGTATGAAAAAATTCCTGAATTCGATTCTTGGAAAAACTTTGGGTTGACTATTAGGAAGGTATGATTGGCGTTTTATTTACCTGATACAATTAACTGCAATTTATGAAGTACCTTTATAGGAAAAAATCTTCGTGCTATTATCAAATATTTAGAAGGTTGGCTTGAGTAAAAGTTGTGAGACATTTTGCTTATAATATATATATATATATATACTGAATGTTTCACCTACGTACGTACAGTACGTACGTTTCTGTAAGAATTATACATGCCAGCAGCCCACTAAATCTAAATTAAAGTATGTATCACAAGGTCTAAACTAGTTATACTGTATATATCTAACTTAAGTTAGGGGTATTAAAAAATCCCTTTATGGTTAATAAGATGTTCTGATTGGCTAAAATATGGATCATGATAATCAAAAAAAACATGGACCTAACAACTCTGATTGGCTAAAATATAAAATCCGCATTTTGCACAATGACATTTCGATCACTAGCAAATCACATCAAGGGAGCTGCTTGAGAACAACTTTAGTCGACTTTAATCTGCTCAGAGAGTCTTACCGTATAAACGCGTAATAACGCGCAGGGGCGCGTTATTTCGAGCCCCTGCGCGTTATTTCGGGACGCGCATGCGCGATAATTCGAAT